AGAGGGAGAGAGAGGGAGAGAGAGGGAGAGAGAGGGAGAGAGAGGGAGAGAGAGGCAAAGAGAGAGAGAGAGAGAGGCAAAGAGAGAGGGAGAGAGACAGAGACACAGAGAGAGAGAGAAGAGGGGGGGCCAGGAAGGAAAGAAGGGAGAATTAGGTCAGCTTCCAGAGCTTGGCATACATCCAGCTAGACTTGTATTTCACACGCACCTAGCAATCTAGAGTATGAATTGATAGTGAGAACTCCAATTACAGAAAGCACCATGAAGCTGCACACTTTCTTCCTGTGTGTACCCCTGTGAGGACACCTTCTAAAGGACACCTCAGACATTGAGAGAGCCACCAAAAGCCCAGAGGTGCCGCCCTTCTCCGGAGGGGCTTGTGTGGCCATGGCTGGGGAACACTCCTTTGTCCGCGCCTGCAGCTGACTCCCCACAGGCCATTCCTGCAGGTGGCTTTGCATACCTGTGCCCAGGTGAGTCCCACGCTACCTTACATCAGGAATCATCAGGAGAAGAACACCTGAGAGAAATACCAACTTCCTTCCCCAGCCTCAGAAGATTCTGCTGAGACCACGGTGTGTCTGTAGGTATGGGTGGCTCACCTGGAACCTTCACAAATTTGCTACATCTGCAGAGAACTCGGGGACCCGTGTTGTTAGCAAGACCCCAGGACATGCTGATGCTCAAGTTCCATGGACCCCACTTTGAGCAACGGTGCCTTAACCTTTATACTATTCACAATCCAGGTCTTTGTGGTTGATGCCGAAGCACTACTGTCATTGACTGAAGACCCGCACAGTGCCTGCCATTGCAAACACTGTTCACCAACCGCATCTCTGGTCTCTCAAAACTTTTTTTTAAAACTTTTCATTAAAAAAAATCTGAACAATAAAGAAAATTAGAGAGAGTAGTTCAAGGTGCACCGGTTATACCTGGCAGCTGATTCAACATCTGCTACATTTGCTCAATCTGTATCTTTCTGCATGTGTTGTGTGCTGAATTATTTCAAAGTAAGTTGCAAACATCTTGACTCCCTTCTCAAACATCTCAGGGTGAACATCTTTTAAATAAACAGGTGAATAGATAAAGAATGTGTGGTATTTACACACACAATGGAGCACTACTCTGTCATAAAGGATAAACGAGTCATTTGTAAGAAAATTGAAGTACCTGGAGACCATAATGTTAAGTGAGGAAAATCAGACATGAGTTTACATATTGCATGTGTGAACCCCCAAATATAAATAAAGAACAAAATAAAAGATAAATAATAGGCAGTAGGGAGATAGATCTTTCTCATATAGGAAGGGGATCAGGAGGGAGGGCAGGGAGGGAGAGGAAGAGGATAAAAAAGGAACTAAAATGTGCTATGTCCATGTACCAATTCCCCACTAGGAATGTCAACATCATGGACTACAAACATGTACTAATAGAAAAATAAAAACAAAAAGGTATTCTTCATAACTACAGCACCATGGTCACATTTAACAAAACTAAAAAATCACTCCCTAACATGAGCTAATTCCTAGCCTATATTAAAAGTTTTCCCGATTGTCCCCCAAATGTCTTTTATAGCCATTTTTTCACAGGAATGCAACCAAAGATCAGACATCGCCTATGGGTGTTCTGTGCCATTTGTCTCCTTTCATCTGAAACTGTCTTCTCCTGTCCAGTTATCTCAGAGAATGTCCCGCTTTCTGGATTTGCCTGACCTTTTCTTCATGAGGTTGCATTAAACAAATGAATGAATATACAATAGTGCCCCATGCTGTCTGGCCTTCTTCCAGCCCACATGTATATACACATACTTAAGGAATATAGATCTCTCCAGTCCATATATGTATGACACCCCATACACCCTCTTTTCATCATTAATGACAGCTTTTACTGAACAGTTACTGTCTGCCTTGCACTGTTTTTAAGAAACTTATGCATTCTCCTCGTAGCAATAACGAGGCAGATTTATGACCAGTAAAACTGAGGCACAGACTGGGAAGGGACTTGTACAAGGTCACAGAGCTAGGAAGTGACAGGGCTGGTTCTGAGACCTAGGATTCCCACTCTAGCTGGCTTGTGTAACCACAAAAATAGAATCATATATTTTTTTAAACATCATTTTCTAGGCCAATACATATAAAATTGACTTGTTTCTTTTTATTCCTGACAATTTAATATAAGCATTTTCAAACATACACAGACCTTGGAAGAGTTAAATGGTAAACACCTATAAACTCACCACCTGTGTTCTATAATGAATGTTTTATTACATTTGACTCATTACATAATAATTTATCCCTCTATCCATCAGTCTATTATATTTGAAGCATTTTTCTCAACTAGAACTCAATGTTAAAAAATAGGTGCATCAAATTCAGTGTGAAGGTTTACTTACCTATTCCTCTAGAGAGGTATTCTAACATTTTGCTATTTCAAACAATGCTGAAATTAATATTTTTGTATTCATACTCGTCTTTAGGATATCTTACTTTATAACGATGCTTTTACTTCAATAGGGTAGATTTCTAAATACCAGATTACCGGGTAATCCAAAAAATGATGTTTCTTAAATACTGTGGGGTCGCTTTCCACTGATTATATATATGCTGATCTATCTGTCCAGTGAACACCAGCTCAAAAAGCAAGGGGTCCACAGTGTCTTTCTTAATTTCCCAGCAGAGTTACTGCTTCTGCTGGTCTCTCTCATCCCTGTAGGAGGCCTTCCCGCAGACCACTTCCTGGTGGGCGGTTCAGTGTGTACGTGTACGCATGCGTACGTGTGCGTGAGAACACAAGCACATCACGAGTATACTTTGGGCGAGGTGAAAGAAACCAGGCCTCCTCATCTACCTTCACAGCCTGTTTGCCCGGCTCAGTGACTCAAACTGGATAAATATTTCCTGTCGAGTGAATCAGCAGAAGGAATGCTGAGGAGAAGTCCAGAAGACAGCATGATGGCCAAACCCCAGTCTGTTCGGGAAAGGGGAACCTGAAGTGTATCAGTGCCTATTAAAAGTCCCATGTGTCTGAGCTGGCAGGGAGACTGCAGACCGAGGCCAGGACAAGACCCCAAGAGAAAACAAGAACAGCCTCATAAACAAGTCTCAGAATTTGCGGACCTTAGTCTTACAGGATAGGGGTTTGTTCCTTTGTTGTTTTGCTTTGTTTGGAGTACTGGAGATGCAACCCGGCACTCCATACAAAAGAGTAAAAAGGAAAATAATGAACGCAGACAGCATTATCTCCTTATCCTTTAGAGAAAGGACATTTTCACTCCTTTTTCAAGTGATATGGATGTTTAGTACTTGTCATCCTTTTTTTTTTTTTTTGGTACCGGGGATCGAACTCGGGTCCTTGAGCCTGTGCAGCAGGCGCCGAAACCACTGAGCTGAATCCCCGGCCCAGTCATCCATTTTTTAACTAGAAATAATAACTGGGTTCCTGTAAAATAAAAATCCACATTACTTTCCTTCCGAATGGTGCCTTCATTCTCGGAGCCCTCGCACTGGGTTTCAGGTCTGCTCCCCTTCTCCCAGATAAGGCCGGGAGCCTGGAGGCTTTGGGAATTGGGAGCTCTGAGAAAGGAGCGACCGGTAACCCCGGTCTGGTCATCCGTGGATCTCTGGATGAAGAGTTCTTCCAGTAGATGGCGCTATTTTCTTTCCACAACACAAGTAGAGTCGCTGCTTGGCTCAGGGGTGGGTTTTTGTTGTTTTTCAGCTTTTCTGTTCCTTTAGTAAGCAGCAGGTGACCGTAAGTTACTAATGTTTTTTTGGTTTTCCCTTTTTAACATTCGCTCTTGGGGACTTCCAAAAGTCCCAGATGGGGACCCTCTGCTCTGGCTGCGGTGGACAACAACAGTCCGCCCCAGCTAGACCGCACTTTCACTCCCCCGGTTCCGCAGTTAGTGCTAAGGACCAGCTCACCGGGAAAACGACCTCTAGCCTCTCCACCTCTATGGTAATAAAACAAAGCAAAAGCAAAACACTGCCTCCAGAATTCCTGTTTTCTAAATAAGGCAAAATATTCATCAAACGATGCAGATATCTTTCCTGGCTGGTTAACACTCTGTGGAAACAGAAACATCTAGAACTTTGCAAATCCAGACCCTTCTCAGCACCTAAGCAGGTGCTGCCACGACCTAAATGCTGCAGAAACTAAATCCGAGGAAGGAAGAAGGAAAAGATTGAAATTCCATTGACACGGGCCGGAGTTGGAAGACGGAAGTGTTCACTAGTGGAATTCTACTCCAGATGCTTTATCTTCAAAATTCTGAATTAGGAAAGCGGGGAGGGCTCAGTCGCCCAAGAAAATTTTGGAGGGGGGTCCGTGTCGGTTCTGCGATCGCCCGAATTTGGTCATCTAAATCCTCCTTGTCAGTACTCAGCTCACTTTAGGGGTACAGCGGGTTTTACGTTTGGGGTTATTTTTACCCAGTCCTCCGCTCTCGAGACTAGCTGCAGCCTCCGGGACGACGGGACGCAGCGCCCACCTGTGACTGCCCCCGCCCTGCGCGCTCCAGGTCCAGGTGAGGCCCGGCCGGTCCGCGACTCCGCCGCGCTGACAGGTGGCCTTGCCCCGCCTCCCTGTCCCCCGGGCGGCGCTCGCAGAGCGGCCCAGGAGCCAGCGGCCCGGCCCGGGGACCGCGAGGCGAAGGCCTCGGCGCGCCCCGGCAGAGGGTGGTCGCGCCAGGCCTCCTCGCGCTGCTGGAACTAGGGTCACGCGGAGCCGCGAGCGCTGTTTCTCTCCCTCTCCCGCCGCTCGCCCCCGCGACCCCCGATCCCATCCCGGCCCCCAGAGGCGGTGACCCCCGGGTGTCCGCCGCCTGCAGCCGACGCCGCCCGGCCACCCACGGGCCCCGCAGCGCCGAGGGGTCACCCGCGTGGGCGAGCCACGTTCCCAAGGACGAGCAGCGGGTGGCAGCCCCGGCCCTGGTCCAGCGCCGCCCGGTCCCCTCCGCCCCGGCCCCCCCGGAACTCGCCGGCGGCAGCTGGGAGGAATTCACCCCGACCCCTCCCCTTCCCCAAACTTCCCGACCCGACCCCTGCGCCGCCGGCTCCGCCCCCTCCCGCCTCCTCCCGCCTCCTCCCGGCCCGTAGAGGAATCCGCCCCCCGCCGGCCGGGGTCCTCCCCCCGCGTGCCGCTCCCGCCGCCGGCCGCTCCCCCCGCGCGCGGCGCTCCTGCCAAGCCCATGACGTAATGGTGTATGTTAATCAGGAGCATGTGGGGAGCTCCGGCGCGGGCCGCTCAGTCCTCCGCCAGCCCAGCCCGGAGGCAGCCGGTCGCGCTGCCCACTCCCCGCCCCGACGGCATGGCCCGCGCCCCGCGCCGCGCGCACCCCCAGCCCCGCTGAGCGCCGCCGCGGCCCCGGACCGCGTGTGGGGCCCAGAGCCGCCGGGATGAGCCTCGCCGAGGTGAGCAGTGCCGCTCTTCGCCCCGGCGGGAGCCCGGTGGCTGAGATGGCCGCAACCCGCGGGCGTCCCTCCCGCGGCCCCCGGACCCCAGCCGGCACTGGGAGAGCCCGCGACGCCGAACTTTCCTCCGCCGTCGTTGGGGGGTGTGCGATCTGCGCTCCCCGCGGGCCGCCCCGCCGCAGGGGAAGCAGCGCCGCGAGCTCGGTGGTCCCCGCGCGCCGCCTGCGGCAGCCACACCGCCGCCTGGGGCGGGGGACGCGCGGGCGAGGCGCGGGGCGGGACAGAGCCGCCCGGGGGGCGGGGGCGGGATGCCCGGAGCACACGCGCGCGCACACGTACGCACACCTCGGCTCGCCCGGCCGCGGCGGGCCCGGGAGCGAGAGAGCGAGCGAGACCTCCCCGGCGGGCTGGTTGGCCTGGCGCGGGGGAGCCGGGGCGCCGGGCTGCACCGCCGCCCGCTGCGCGCGGAGCTCCGGGTGGGGAGAGTTTATTTTTGTCTCAAGCTGCGGCCGTGGCTGCTCACGGCCTAAATCCAGAGGGGCGCCTGGCGGTGGAGATGCTGGCTGTTGCTGTAGATGGTGCTGCAGCCGCTCGGCTGCTTCTCGGGAGGAGGAGGGAGGAGGAGGAGGACCTCGGGATGCCTCTGCCCCTGCCTCCGCCTTGCATTAAGCCCATCCCACCCCCGCGCCCCTCTGATGCAGCCGCAGTGCAAGTTTTCTGCGCTGGGAAGGAAGAGCTGCTGCTGGGCCGGTCGCAGGCGCAGCCCCCGAGGCCGCCGGGCGGGGCGCGCGGGGAGCATCAGCCCCTAGCAGCCGCAGCAACAGGGAGCTCGGGTCCCCTCCCGCACCTGGGCGGGCGGCTTCCGAGCCCTTCCCCGCGCGGGGACGGCCCAGCGCCCGCAGCCCGGCGCCTCGGGGCGGTGGAATTCCGTGGGGGGGGCTCCTCCTTCGAGGGACGCCCCCGCGCCCTCGGCTCCGCTGTCCCCGGCGCTCTCCGCCCGCCCGCCGAGCTCTCACTGCGGTTCTCTCTCTCCTTCCAGCGCTGATCGCCGCTCGCTCGGGAATGCGGGTGTGAAGGGTCTGAGCTGCCGCCCAGCGGGGAGGAGACCCCGTGAAGCCGGAAACCACCATCCCGGAGCTTCGAGGAGGGGGGAAGAGAGCACATTCTTCATCCAGTTGTGTGCCTTGGAGGGATTTTATTTTTAATCAAAAAAAAATTTTAAAAAGAAACATTTCCGTGCCACTGTCTGTCATCGTCCCTGGGGAAATCGGCCAGGAGCAGTGGAACATCCCCGAAACCAGACGGCAGAGGGAGGAGGCGCCCCGGCAGCGCCCGCTGCGCCCGGCGCCCGGCGCCCGGGCCACCTTGGCTCCGGGACACATCTCCGGAGGAGCCGTGGGGCTGCGGCTCCGTCAAACTTTGGGGCGGGCGAGGGGGTTTCGTAGACCGAGGGCAGCCCCTCAACCATGATGTTTCGCGACCAGGTCGGGGTGCTGGCGGGCTGGTTCAAGGGCTGGAACGAGTGCGAGCAGACTGTTGCGCTGCTGTCGCTGCTCAAGCGCGTGAGCCAGACCCAGGCCCGCTTCCTCCAGCTCTGCCTGGAGCACTCGCTGGCCGACCGCGCCGAGCTGCAAGTCCTCGAAGGCGAGGCCAACAGCCCAGGTAAGTGTGCGGCCTCGCCGTTCCGCTCACCCCCCTCCCCGGGTCCGCCCCCTCCCGGGACTGCGTGGCCCCCAGGGACTCTGTCACCCCGCGCCCCAGACCAGGTTCCTGCCGCCCCTACACCTTGGCCGGCCGCCTTGGGCTTCACCCACTGTGAACTCCTCGGCCCGTTCCGTGGTGCGGTAGCTACGGTAGCATGAATGATTGATTTTTCTCTCATGCAGTTTCCTGGGAAATAAGTGAGTCAGGTCACGTAGAGTCTGGATTTTCTGGGCTTTCCCCCCCCCCCTTCTTTTGGGCAGCATGGCTTGCTGGATTTCAGCAACAGATGAAGAAGCCCGGGACTGCCCACTATCAGCTCAGCTCAGGCCGGGCTGCAGGAAGAGCACCCTAACGTGCAGTTTTAGACACCCTCTCCGCAATGGATATGATGGTTTTAGAGGTTCGCCTTCGGAATACCATGTAGGTGACGCTACACAGTATTAAAATGACATTTGCAGCAGGGCTATGATGGGATGCGCTCACTGGTCATGATGTTATCTCTACTGATAGGGATCTCGGAGGAGGTGCCGGTGGGAATTGGGGTTCCTCAGTGCTTTCTGTTGGGAACTTTCCTGAATGGAGCAGAATTGTTTCATCTGACCCTGCTGGCATTGACAGACACCTCAAGTGGTATAGAAAGTGACTGCACTTGGAAAGTCCAACAGTTTGCCGTTTGCTGGCTGGGTGGTGACAGCTTGAAATTATATCCTCAGCAGCCAGGGGAGGCTGGGCTGGGGGAAAGGTCTTAGGTTGGGGGTTTGGAGAGGGGAAATTCTTGGTTCAGTGCTGCAGCAGGAGGGTGAACAGAGCCTCCAGTGTTTCTGAGGAGGAAAGAATGCAGGGCCCTCTCCCAGCTGTTCCCTGTTAGCGCTGGAGCCCGGCAGAGGGCTGCCCTGCCTGCCATGGGGTCACTAGGTCTAGGCTGAGCAGGGGGCCCGTGAGGCCCGGAAGTGAGGTAACCAGAGGAGTCAGCGGAGAAGAGGCGCCTCTTCCTCATTCCTGCTGCGTGGTGTGGTCCCTCTGATGCTGAACACGAGGATGGGATGTTTCCATATATAGAATCCTGGGGTGGAAGTGACCGCTGGAAAGCCTGGCAGGCCTTTTCCTGACTGCACCCACAGGAGCCCACACTGCCAAGTATGGAGGGCGATTGGGAGGGAGTCCTGCAGCCCAGCCCACACTGCCACTCACGAGGGTGACAGCGCAGGCCCCCTTCTGGGGCTCCACGGTTATAAATAGTTGAGCGGCCAGCCACCTTCCCAGGGCCGGGATAACTGCGACCCACTCGCCTCGCCTCGCCTCTGGCTTTAATGTCAGCGGTTCCCCTGCTTCGTTTTGCTGTCCTGGGCTTGAAAAACAAGGTTATATAAACCTTTTTGTTTCAGAGAATGCAAAGATCTTAAGTACAGTCGTTTATGTTGGAGCTTAACTTCACCTCTCAGGGACTGTTGAATTCAAGCTCATCTTTACGGTACTCACATGTAGGAGCAACATTTTTTCCCTTTGAGTAATGGAGAGGATTTTTCCCAGCGTAGCTGCTATCACGTTAATAAGGAAAGCAAATAAATGTAAAGTATTAAAAACAAAAGCCCAAGTTTAAAATCTTATAATAACAAAAATATTCAACCTGTGCAAGTTTTTTGAAATCATTCGGTAATTTTTTCTTTCAAACTTTTTTTAAAAACCTTGTTTATTTGTATAACATACCTACTTATTTGTGCTACGAAGTGATGTAAGTGCACAAAATGTAGAACCAATTATGTAAAGTAGGGACCATCTTCCAGTTTCTGGATTAATCTTTCACCCTACACGTTTTGCCTAGATGGAAACCTTTGTGTTCATTTGGTTGTGTGGCTGGGATAGAGATTCACTAGGGAGCTCGTTGGGAGGCTCTGGTTTGCTTTTGGACGATGGGAGTTGTAAAGAGCATGGGGATTTGTCACAGCTTGCCTCTTGTGCCTCTCTACATATCTGGAACTTGGCCAAGAAGCAGGAAGAGGCAAAAATGTCTACTTGGCAACTAGAGTAGACAGCACCAAAATCCAGAGACTACTTCAGACCCTCTCTCAGAATATACTTACCTTTACTGGAGATACAATCCCAGCATTGTTACTTTAATTTGAAAAGTAATCCATTGTGTAGTAGGAAGAGCACATTTTAAATGGATTGAGGGGCTGCCCTACCAGCAGCAAAAAGTGACCCCAGATAACTTAACAGCTAGGTCAGGATAGAAAAACTGTAACTTCTGACACAAAATTTGGAGCAAAAGACCTGAAGCCTTGGTAGAAACCCTGAACTGACCCTTCAGTATCCCTTGGGAATAACATAAATCAATACTTGCTATTTATGCATAATAACTTCAAGCTATCTAAAGAATACGTTTAAAATTTTTATTTATTTTTGAGACAGGGTCTTATTATGTAGTTCAGGGTAGCCACGGGCTCCCAGCAATCCTCCTGGCTCAGCCTCCTGAATGCTGGGATTGTAGGCATGCTCCACCATGCCTGGGAAGAATACATTTTTTAAAATATACTCTTAGAAGACAGGGAAATGTTCAATATACTTGGAAAATATTTACACTCAAGACAGTTAACCTCCAAAGCTGTTTTGGTGGATAAAGTTCTTACCAATTCAGAAAACGAGGCTGTGCAGAATGACTCATTCATAGAATGGCTGGGATTTCCCGTACTCAAGTCATCCTGTATCATTTGTTTTGCCTGGTGTGGTTGAAACACACACACACACACACACACACACACACACACACACACCCCTAGTGTTTAGAGACTTTAAAACTTGATGAATGGGAAACTTGATATCTGGTGCTGATTGCAGTGTAATAAAGAAAAGTCAGTAGTGTGAGCTTGGTTATGTTCTCTGCAGAACTGACTTTCAGTAGAGAGATTGCCTGCCCTGAAACATGGTTTATTTGAGATCTGTAGGATGTTGATGCTAACTTTTCATTTTCTTCAGTGGATTGAGAATATGGCAATTCACTCTTTCATCTTTTGCCTCGGGTTCATCGTCTTTGGAAATGCAAAGAAAATAATCGTCTCAACCCCTAGTTTGGATTTTGACTGTCCCCGGAAGGGTTGTGCGTTAAAGGTTTGGTCCCCAGTTTGGCACTGTCGGCAGTTGGTGGAACTTTTAAGAGGTGGGTGTTGGGGGGCATCTTCTGATCACAGGATGGGGTCTGCCCTTGAAAAGGAGGTGAGACCCCTTTCTCTTTCTCTCTTTGACTCCTGGTCATGAGTCGAGTAGTTTTGCTCTGCCTTATGTACCACGACGACGACGTTGGGGCCAACTGATGGTGAACTGAAGCTTCTAAAACCGTGAGCCAAAATCAGCCTTTTCTCTTTGTAAGTTGATTATCTGAAGCATTTGTTCTAGGGTGGAAAGCTGACCCATGCAGTCCCTATGGATTTGTGTGTATGCCTTTGCTTTTCACTCTAGGTTTGGTCAGTGGGTACTGGTCTGGGTCAGCTTTCTAAATTTCAGCTTCTTTCAAGAATTCTCATGCTCTTAACGAAAGGCCCTTCAACCACCAGCCCACACTGCCACTGGCACTTCTGGCCAGACTCCTTTTGAAGAGGCATTTCTGAGAAGAGCAGTTTATTGGATCCTTGCAAATGGTCAAATTCCCTGACTTCCCTGGAATTCCCTGACTTTACATGTGATTCTCAAAGGACAAATAGGATGTGGCATTGTGACTTTTGTCATTTGGATTTGAAATATATTTTTCATTGGAAACAGTGTAATAAGTGGAGAGTCACAAGTTAATCCACAAAGACTTTTTAAGCCAGAAAATAATGCGTATTTTATGGGGAATTGTGTATGTTTGTATTAAGCTAATGGCAAAATCCTTGTTGCTTACTTACAGTTAAGTATGGGAGAAAGGATTATTTGAAACGGTGGTGCTTGAGAAAAAATGATTGCGGAGATTGGAGGGGACTCGGGTAGTTTTGCAAATATAGAAGGGGAAAATGCTGGCTCCATGATTCTTATGGTTTCTCATTTCCATGGTACAAGTATGGCATCTTCTACCCTCACTTGCTTTTTAAAATCACAAATGGGGAAAGAAGAAAGCAGAAGAGGGTTTTCTGATGATGTGGACAAGATCTTATTTGTAGTTCTTTCATTCACGTCTTCATGCGACAAACATTTTCTGACAGCCTTCCAGTATCCTCTTCCAATGTGATGCAGTGGGAGTAGAGAGGTGACTTACTGTATTCCAGTGCCTGGTATGTGACAGGTAACTCTTTCTGTTGAGTAAATAACTAATACAATATTATAGGCGCTGAAGCATAGATAGGGAAATGGAAAGTATGGAGGGAAGGTTGCTGGGGTATTGCGAACCTAGCAGCTAATTGCCGGGGGGCAGGAGGTTGGGGAAAGGACATGGGGAAGGGACAGCATTTAGAAAAACGGTGCTTTGTAAAAGGGACTGTTGTGTGCAGGAAGAGGTGAGCTCAGAGTGGCTCAGAGCATGTGGAGTGCTGGGGTCTAAGAGGCAGAAATTAGAAGCAGAAGCGACAAGTATGCAGGACTCCGCTAGCCAAGGAATTTCAAGTTAATCCTCAGAGGTGACATAGAACCCAAAGAGCCTTGTAGGCAGGAGCTGCTGAGAACTAAGGGGGGGGTGTGCCTGTATGGTGTGTGTGTGTGGGTGTGTGTGTGTGTGTGTGTGTGTGTGTGTGTGGTGCGTAGTGCATAGTGCGTGTCTGAGGCCCGGGTGAGTGCTTGTACACTTTCGGGAAAGTCTTTACCTGGTATATATGCCAGGCTGTTTGGTTCCAACCATTGCCTTTTGGGCTTCCGGTGACATCATGAGCTTGGGACATCCTGGTTGTGATCGGCATCACCATATGGGGATGAGGAATAATGGTGACAGCAGAAGCAGCTCCTGTCCTGGTGGCTGTGTATTTGCTCGAGGGCATACTCTGTAGAGCAGTGGTGGT